CATCTTATGTTTTAGATGCCATCTGGAAGAGTTTAGGTTCTACATCTTATGTTTTAGATGCCATCTGGAAGAGTTTAGGTTCTACATCTTATGTTTTAGATGCCACCTGGTGAAGTAATGTCATATTATGAAATGTTATGTTCTACATTTTGTGTTTTAGATACCAGTTGGATATTTTATCTGCAACATTACCCATTTTTTTGTTAAAACTATCCGAAGCAAACGATCCTGATACAGTCTTTAAATAATGTACAACGAAATCTAATTTGAGGTTCTGAGTTATTGTGATTACAAGTCTAGTCACTATAGAAAAGTGGTTTTATTTTTCTCTAAACACGTATACATTTTAATCAATTATAACTTATTTTACTGTTATAGCAACTCTGTCATGCTCGTCAAACTGGTTTTACTCCTTGTTCTGGCGCTAGGTGGAGCTGATGTAGTGAGCTCTCGAACATACCAAGCTTATTTCATAGAGTATGAAAACCAAGAACTAGAAGCAGTCAGACCATGGCCAAGAGTACAGTTACTGGACGTTACATGGTCAGTAAAGGGTCAGAATTATGCTCAAGGCATTCCGGAAATACTTAGCTGCCGTCTCATTGAAAATCCGTAAGAAAATGATATATTATTTGATTAAAAACAAAGCCAATATTTAGTACAAAGCCTGTAGCTACATTAAACTGACGTTCCATGTTAATATAATAATCACACGAGGTAACAACAATAAAATTAAGGAACAAAATAATAACTTTTCACAAACCAATTTTAATGTTTGCTATCATATTGTTGTATATGATGTTTGGTAAATATACACTCAATCATTACGAACGAGCCTTAAAATACGGCGAATCTCCCTTAGAGACCACGTGCTGAAGAAGTTAAAGAAAAAGAACCTTCATCAGACTGTCCTGAGGATAACCTCTGAGAAGATGGAATATATTTTACATCACTGCTCAGACGCTGGACAGTTAAAGACAGAGGACTTTCTTCACAGGTCTATAATATGGCCAGGTAAACAAAGTTTGGTGCGGCTAAAACAAAATAACAAATATTAGAGCTGATTGATAAGACTAGTTTATTGCAGAAGTGATACAGGTGGAAGGAGTAGTTAATCATTATAAGAATTACATATGCTAGGACTAGTTGATTACAGAAATGATACAGCTGGTATGACTAGTTGATTACAGAGACGAGATAATAGGACTAGTGAATTACATAACAATACGACTAGTATATATATATATATATATATGTCTGTCTGTTTGTTTCTTATCTCACTACTCCTAGGTCGCTGGGCCAATCTCAACCAAACTTTGTGGGATGATAGTTTGGAACAAGGGGAATGTAAATGAGGATTCAGAACCCCTCCACCCCAGTATTGATGTTATTGAGCATTCATTGTTTTTGATGTAAGTTAACGTTAACTACATTCGTATATAGCGCCACGCTCTTACACAACACTAAAATCTTTATTAAATTTTCCATCCTCCGGTGAAACAGCGGTAAGTCTTAGGCTTTACAACGCTAAAATCAGGGGTTTGAATCCTCTCG